TCTACCGAATGTGTAAGATCAAGAAAAATCGAAGTGAACGGAAAAGTTCATGGAGGTAGGCCTAGGCCCACTGGGGCTGTAGTGCCAAGGAAAAAAATATCTTTTCTATTCCTAGCCAATGACATGTCGGTACTAAAGAAACTGAAAATGCAGTGTCAGCTGAACATTCGACGGCATCACCATCATAACGAGTTTTATGAGAATTTTCTCAGTACTTTATGAAGACAGCACCAGAAATATAGGCGTACATTCGTATGGTCGACGCAAGATCCAATATGTCGTAATTTTTAAAATATTTTTATTTACATTGTTGTATAAATTTTTAGACTTCTGGCAATTAATGGTCACAATATGAATGAAAGATCAATACAACTCAGTTTTCATTTAACAAAAAGAGAAAGGATTTTTTAATTTTGCAGTCCCATGTGGCCGCTATTTTCGTCTGTGATTTTATACCAGCCTTGGGTAATTCTACTGGGGGATTCTATTGTGTATGCATACACAGGCATACCTAAAAACATAGGCTACATGTAATAGAGTATTCACTCATATATTTAACGTCTACACAATAGTTATATTTAGTTCACTCGGCACATTAATAATAAAGAATTGAATTATTCCGGGGAACTGGAATTAGACTCCTGGCATGTGAAAAAAAATTCTCTGTTCTCCGCAGAGTCCAGAAGGGCTCTGGGGCCAACACAGCAATGAGTGCCGGGGAAATTTTCACGGGATAAAGCGGTCGGGTCGTGAAGCTGACAACTCACTTCCATCTAGTGCTGAGGTTAAGAACTGTAGAGCTATACTTCCACTCCCCATACGTCTTCATGGTACGGTGGTTAATTCAGCACAGGGAATATTTAAATTTTACATTATTATTATTATTATTATTATTATTATTATTATTATTATTATTATTATTATTATGTACATGTGTAACTCTTCCTGCTTGGAAATTATTTCGAAACAGGAAAGTCCCAAGTCTCTCTTTGTTTCCCAGTTTAGCCCAGGGATTAGAGCCGACGAAGTTGAGGACGCAATTTAGCCTAAAGAAGTTAGTCAACACTGCTCTTTAAAAAAATTCGTACATGCATCTTTTCGTGTTTCGGTTTTAGGAGATAATTTTCCTCTCATTAACAGTACTGATGTTTGGCCTACTGGTTTTCTTAATGCTCATTTTTATGGCAAACTTACGCCTGATGAGGTGTACTCCGCCAGTACTCCAGTTAGACATGTCAAACACGGAGCTCCCGTCTGTTCCTGGTTCTAGGCTAATGAACCCTAATAATACGAGTCCTGCTGATACCCATAGGGCACGTGGAGGAAGCGGTTTAAATAATTAATTTGTTATTTCGGCCTTCGGTTTTGCTTCAAATTCGGTTCGTCCCGCCGTGTCTCCCTAAATTGCCTTTGATAATACTGACATTTATTATCGAAACGTTAAGGGCCTCAGTACTGATTGCTCCAATTTTTATGACAGTGTTTGTGCTGAGGATTACAAATTATATACATTACAGAGGCATGGCTTTTTGCAGTCACAATATGTTTGTTGATGTGTACTTGGTTTATCGTGCTGACAGGGATTATTCTAGTTCTACTACACTTCGCAGTGGCGGCTCTCTTACTGCCGCTAATCTTTGTTACCGGGTTCAAAGATTGATACGACCTTGAACTTACGAACGAACGCGTTTGGAATGAAATTTCCGTTCTTGAATATTTCAGTTTACGTAATAGTAATCACCATTTCTCACCTAATACCGACACCAAAACCATTGAACAGTATCTTAATTCTCTGGAGGACATTTTAAACCCTCGCAGTTTTCGTGTTGTTATTCTGGTTAGGTTTGGTTTACTGGCTTTCATCACGCAAGCTCTCACTCTTTACACAAAAATTACAGGCGACAGTATTCATAATGCCGCTTCCAATTTCCGCCCTCTTCAGTATAACTACATTGCTGCAATCAGTGATTTTGATCTCGTATTTGCACATTTCTTCGACATTCATATTTCTAAATCTCGCACTGATTTGGCAACTCCTCTTAATTGTCACCCTTCCTTGTATAATGAACTTATAATGGTTTATTATTTGCGGCTTCTCTGCAAGTTCCTATTAAAATTCGGAATTATACATTCTGCGATTATATTGTGCTGTTCCAAAATTTGATCCCCCAGTAACCAGTTTCGTGTTTATGATCAGCTCTCTGCTGACTCAAAATGTTACTGACGCTTTAAATCGAGATGTTATTTATACTTACATAAAAATGTGGCTTTCTAGGCTTGTTTTATGGCCCTTAGAAATATTACATTAATAAAAATAGGCAGTGTTTCGTCTTTACAAGAAAACCAAAATCGACGCGCATTACCGTTTTTCCATACTTTTACGAACTTGCCAAATTACTATTAAATTTGAAAGGCAGCGTGACTGACTTACTCCCTTTATATTTTCATGGCCTGCTGCATTATTATCTAGCTAAATAAAACTTCGCCATTTTTATTATATGGCAAATAACAATATTGTTTTATACAGCGTAACGTGGCAATTAATAAAAATCTAGGCTATCTGTTGGGAAACGGAATTATAGCAAACAAGGCATTGTGACATGTCCTGTAGGAAAGTCAAAATAATGGACACTTAGACCCGTTGCTTGGCAGTGACTCGGTAAACACATTCCCGAGACAACAAATACGCAGGCAACAATTGGATAGCTTCCGTAACTATGCAACGCGCCGTAAATATAACAATAGAGCTAGAGATGTTTTCTGTGTGGTTCGGAAATATCCATTGCTGGGCCACAGACGTGTTTTCTGTGGGTCAGCCTCGACGCTACATAATCAGAATGCGAACGCGAATTGCACGAATCCTCGGCAGCCAAGGAAGAAGGGCTCGGCTGAAGATTGATTGTGAATTATGGTACTTGATTGTGATTCAGAGAGAATGTAAAGGAAGATGTTAATAAATACAGTTATCCAATCCAAAACCCGCTATTATTAGTCACAGAGCCATAAGCTTCGTGACAATAATTTCTTTCCAAAGTAAGGAAACAAATAGCTAATGAAGGAAATTCTTCCGGGTTCTAAGCACGTGGCAGTGTACAGGTATTTTTACGTTTTTTCTTTCTTCATTGCCTTCAGATTTGCTGTGGACTGCTCCAGAATTGCTCCGGAACCCTTCGCTGCGCAAGACGGGCACCCAACCCGCTGATGTCTACAGCTTCGGTATCATTATGCAGGAAGTTGTTGTCAGAGGGGAGCCCTTCTGTATGCTCTCCCTCAGTCCCGAAGGTACTTCCAGTCTCATTCATCTTGACACTACACACAGTCTCAAACATTTGCATCTTCAGTTGTAAAAATCATCCAAATCGCATTAACTTTCGAGAACGCAATTCCAAAATCCCGCCGATGGATCCTATCCTAAACCACTTAAATTTTGTGCTAAAGTGTTCTGATAATGGCGTATAACACTCAGAATTACTGCGTTTTTGGACTTTGTCCATCGTCTAGTGATTTAGGCTAACTCTTACTAATGTACCCAACAAAGCAGCGCCATAGCTCAAGAGGTCAGTCGCTGTCTTCCCACCGCGGCGGCCCGGATTCAATCCCGGGTCTGGTCAAGAAGGATGTGTGGTAGACAAAGTGGCGCTGGGGCCGGTTTTCTCCGAGTACTTCGATTTCCCCTGCCAATCTTCATTCCGCCAAATTCTCTATCATCATAATCACCCGGGGCGAGTACAATAGGCCAATCACTGGCCGCCGTGCCAAGTGGACCCAGCTTGACTCCACCCCTCACTAAGCGAATTAAATTAATGTACCCAACAAGTGTAGGTCATTTTCTCGACCTCACCTGATGACGAAAACAGATCCAATCTCCGAAACCTTGTATTTTGTAGTTTCCAGAATACCGAACGANGATAAGTGTATGCACTGCAAGACGGAATAAACAAATCATGAACTTGGTTAACTTCTTTATTGTCTATTTTCCTCAGATACATTTCAATGTTAGATCATCTTTGAATATGTTTCACAAGTGATTTCTTCCTGTGGATGTAACTGACTATATTGCACAAAGTTCGTCTTAAGATTTCTTTTATTGCTAGTGGGGTGGGACTAAGTCCCTTATACTGCGACCACTTCTGGCCTATTGTACTAGCCCCAGGTGATAGGTTAGGGTGATTGTGGAGCAATTGGTGGAATGAAGATTGGCAGAGGAGACCGAAGTACTCGGAGAAATCGTGCCCCAGCACCACTTTCTCCACCACAAATCCCACTTGACCAGACCCGGAATCGAACCCGGGCCGCCGCGGTGGGAAGCCAGAGACTAACCGCTTGAGCTATGGCGCGGCCCTTCTTCTTAAGATGCTGATAGTCCATTGCCTTATCAAGAAATTGTCCTGCTTTAATGTAACTAAAGTGTTAATAGCATGTTTACGAACGTCCACCAGCGGACTCTCTTTTGAGTCGCTTGCATCCAGGCTGTGCTTGTATACTCACATAATTTCTTTTCAAGAGATCAATTATAATTTTATAGTATTTTTGCAGCAGTAACAGGTGACATGGCTGACATAACTTTTCGGGCTTATTTATTTCTGTAACTCCTTTTCGTAGGCTCGAAAATCCTTCACGCCATTTTATTGTCGTTTTCATTCATACTATGTCGCTCGGAGTGACTAAAACAGCCTACGTGCCTTCTTGCAATGCGAGATGCCAGAAAGCTACCCAACAGTGAAATGCGTTTTGTTGATCTATATTTCTGAGTCAAATCCGGCATGTGTTTCGTTTCTATACTACGCGCCCGACCTTTGTAACTTCGGCCCACTTTGTTAATTCGGGTCATTCAGCTGGGCAAGAGGTTCCCGCCTCTCACGGAACCCGATGTTTCAGTACAGTGCAGATAAGACTATATATTACTGGTCCCATTCCTGACCCAGATGAATTCGGTCCAAACTTTCAAAATCCTGTTTCTTTAATATTCTTTTTAATATCATCCTCCCATCCATACCGAAGTGTCCCTTAGTTATTTCTTGTAATCATACTTTTCGACTAAATTTTTGTATGCGTTTTTTGTCTCCCCCACACGTGCTGCATGTCCTGTTCATTTCAACTGATGCGCCTATAAACGCACTACTACTACTACTACTACTACTACTACTACTACTACTACTACTACTACTACTACTACGTATAAACAGGTAAAATTGTAGTTTTGTGTATTTTAATCTTTATGGTCTATATTTTTCATATCAGACGCGAAGACCAACGCCGGTCACAGTGGCCGCGCTGTCTAACACATGAACCGTATTCGCTCGCTCGAACGCTGGGTTCGTGGTTTCGAACCTCACTCGAGGCACGCAAGTATGTCCTTTTATTCTGTGTTTTTGTTGTTCTGCGTGATAGGTAGCGGCCTTGCGAGGGACTGATTCCAGTCCAAGAAGTCCTGTCGGCTGTGTATAGCATTAAGAAACCGAAAAAGCGGCGAAAATTCCAAAGGGCAGCAAAGCCATAGATAAAAAGTAAACCCGACTGGCAGCACATATATTCATAATAATTTTACACGAACACAACGCTCTTATCTTCTCACATCTGCATGGATTCCTTCAGGGTTGGTTCCATATTTCCTCATGATGTTCCCAAATTGTGATAGATTCAGAAATCCTGTGCTGCTTGTCTGTCTGCAGATATCATTGAGAAGGTGAAACGCCCGCCACCGCTTATACGCCCTTCAGTGAGTAAAGGTGCTGCGCCTCCTGAGGCCATCAATATCATGCGACAATGTTGGGCAGAGCAGGCAGACATGAGACCCGACTTCGGCTCCGTTCATGATCTCTTCAAGAAACTCAACCACGGCAGGTAGCTCTATCTCTTAGAAAATGCTCCCTCTTTGTTCGGTTCAAATGCTGTCTTGAGCAACATGTCTTCAAAAGCCCTCAGTCCAGATCTTACTGATTTACCGCCGTTTATACTTCAGGCTATGCTTCATAAAGACATCTCCTCGTCTCTATTGCTATTACTTGAAGAGAACTAGTAGTTCTTTGAATACTTATAATTACACTGAAATTCCATCCATTTTCTTCTCCAAAATTCGAAGTTAGAATATGGAACGTCATAATTGAGTAGAAAGCAAAACTGTTTCGTATTCAGAGAGCTTTGGGTTTGAGTCTCGGGAAGTGAATATCCTGAATTATTTTCGTGATTTTATCCAGTCCTACCAGAAAGATACTGAGATAGTACCTCGAACTATGTATGCCAAAACTTATTCCTTCTACACTCTTTTAAATTCAACATTCATTATCACTCAACAATTTTGGTTCGCATGAACTTTGAAGGTGAACACAACAATGTAAATATTCCAAGCATCAAGCAGTACACCTATTCTCGTTTATGATACACGTTCTTATATAAGACCAACAGGACGGGGAACATAATCACAGTAAATTTATTTGTTTGTATGTTAACTTTTCCAGAAAAGTAAACTTCGTCGATACAATGTTTCAAATGTTGGAGAAGTATTCAAACAATCTGGAGGAGCTCATTAGGGAACGCACGGAGCAGCTGGACATGGAGAAGAAGAAGACTGAACAACTGCTGAACAGAATGCTTCCAAGGTATGAATGGTAGCTCATGTTTCTCTAGAATTTGTACGCGTCTCCTTCTCTCTACAGGGAAATAAAGCGTAAGCAGAGAAATCTGTACAGAAAATCAGAAATTGAAACAATTAATGTTATGAATAAATCAGTCTTCTGGGATGTGGCACCGTGTAGATGTGGTGTTAACCGATGTTTCGGAGGAACGTATCGCCTCCATCTTCAGGGTAGAAGGAAAAATAAGAAATCCGCAAGCGAAGAAACCGCGAGAACGAGTACGGGTTCTTAAGGTGCTTTGATGCTTTGATATAAATGTATACAATTTTATGAACATTTTCCTTATTGATTCGAGTATATAGCCAGATGATACATGAATGGAATGTATCCCTAATTCAAAATGAAAAATACTCTAAACTTATTCACTCACAATTCACTTGATTAATTTTGAAATGAATCGCTGATGGTCAATCTGACATTGCACCGTTCTCATAAGTGCACTCCCGCATTTGTTCTACTGCGTTTCAGTCTATGAACAGAATATTACACGAACAGTTTATTTGTTTAGAACGGAATATATTGCGTGTATTTAATATATAGTGTGTAAATCAGCGACAGAGCCGTATTTAAGTGTGGTTAAGAGAAGTTATAACCATGTTATATTTTAGCGTCCTGTTGCACTGATTTAAGTTCATGATTTGTTTATTCCGTCTTGCAGTGCATACACTTGTCTATCTTCTTCTCTCACTNTCACTACATGTTTCGGCATAAGAATGCCATCTTCAGGTGCTACTCAATTCACGTCAAACTAGTACATTGTATGCCTTGTCTTCACTTTAAAATAACTAAAATATATGTCCATCATATATATTGACAAATGTCAATCGTAAAAATATTAAAACTGTTCAGGGTTCCCGATCGCTACGTCGTATCTTATTACGCCAGTCCTGTTCATCCTACTCTGTTGGAGCTCTTCTTCCCTATCGTGTATATTGTGTTTCTGTTGCGTCTTGTTCTCGCGACTGCGTGCGTTATGTTGTTGGGTCTGCTGGGTATGTGTACTAATACAATGTACTAGTTTGACGTGAATTGAGTAGCACCTGAAGATGGCATCCTTATGCCGAAACATGTAGTGAGAGTGAGAGAAGAAGATAGACAAGTGTATGCACTGCAAGACGGAATAAACAAATCATGGAGTTATAACCAAGATGCCAATAAATCCAATCATCCTAATTAGAACCCGTCATTTTCGTCACGCGTACCACCCTACACGTGACGATATTAATTTTTTGTCTTTGATGCTGTAATAAACATAGCCAAGATTATTAACTCACTGGTAGTGAAACTCGGAAGTTCCAGAGTAGCTAATACCAAAGTTTTCCAGTGCACAAAATCCTGAGTCACTTGAATTCCTCTCTCATCCTCACAATCAATTTCCCTATGAACATTTTAATATTTTACTTTTCATCTTTTTGTAGTCTTCGAATTGCCCATTTTCCCAAAGGCTTCACTATGACAATTCTTAATGCGGTAGGGAGTCCATAATTCCAATTTGGAGTGAGGGACCTGTTATTACTCGTATATCCCAGGCCCGTCCTAACATCAGGTGACCTGTATGAACCATGATGTTAATAATATCTTAAATTGAATACATATTTGATCCTACTTAGGTCCAGGTATTTCCTTCAATATTTTAATTCAGACACACTCATGCTTTTCCGTCAAAGTAATGGGTTACGTTTCATATACACGAAAAACCGACGAAGATAATGCTAGTAAGAATAATTTCCTATGTTTCAGCTCAGTTGCGGACAAACTGAAGTTAGGGATGCCTGTGGATCCTGAAGATTTTCGAGAAGTTACGATATATTTCTCTGATATCGTTGGCTTCACGACAATCTCCGCATATTCTACACCGTTTGAAGTCGTTGATTTGCTTAATGATTTGTATACTTGCTTCGATGCGACAATCAATGCTTATAATGTGTACAAGGTAAGGTAATCATCGATAAACAGAATGTTGTCTTTGTTGTTGTTGTTGTTGTTGTTGTTTTTGTTTTTGTTGCTGCTGCTGTTCTTGTGAGAGGAAGACTGTCTTATCTATGAAGTCAGGGACTGAAATCCCTACGTCCTGAGTAAAATTCAGATCTTTTTGAAAACTGCCATTTCTACCCAGAAACTGACGCACTCTCCGAACTTCTACATTGTACAGATGCAATCGGTGGAGAGAACATAATTGCTTTTAGTTTAGTTTACTTATACAGTGTGGTTATGCTAGGGCCACCCTAAATTCCTTTGGTCACTTAGTGTGAGAGACAAATGTTACTCACGCAAACATGGACCGAGTGCGAGAAGACTCTGCAGAACAAAATACTGTACACATTACAAATTTTCTACAGTATTTCTCAAAAAGATAGTTGGACATCTGAAGTATGAACGCATTATGCGACAGATGGCCGTAATCCCGAGCCCCTGCTGCCTTTTCAAGCATTACTTTTGTGCCGAAAGGCCACGTGTGCGATACTACAGGAACAACGTCTGTTTATGCAAGAAAATGGAATATTTCTTGATGTTGTTGCAAATAGAGGACCTAATGCTTCTTTCAGCAGACACTCATACCAGAAAACAATTAACGTGGACAAGCAAATGGTTAGAGGACAGAAGTTGCTCATTTGGCGGTTCACTTCATGTTTCGACCTCAATTTCAAAGCCGGGCATGAGGGTACCGGAAAACACGCTTTTAACAAAATAAAGCTCTAAAAATTATTTATACAATCCTAAAAAATGTAGACACACAGGATTGTTATTGGATAGGAGAGAAACCGAATCGACGTGCTGATGGCTCGTTGAATATAAATTGGTTGATAGCAGTGCCAGGTTTCAACATTCTTCTCTGAAACTCCTTAGAAGTCTTGAACAAGAGATTTGAATTTCGAAAACTGCCACAAAATTCATAAATTTGAACCATATAAGGTAAAAATTAGTCGCCCGGCCTGTAATGCCTAAGCTCATCACAGTACTTGATCAGCAGTTTGCTGAGGCGATACTGAAAAACTGTACATATATACTCTTCTTTTGTAGACTCCGCTACAAGCTGGGTCGACTTAACATGAGGAACTTCTACCTCTTCCACCTGAGGGCCGAACAGTTTTAGGGTATCCCTCAGATGTCCGCACCGCGCTAATGCAACCCATGTTCATTAATATTCCTATTATTTCGCAGGCTTAACATCTAAACATACAACGTCCTTTCCATCTGTTTGATTTCAGGTGGAGACCATAGGTGATGCCTACATGGTAGTGGGAGGACTACCAGTTCGGATCTCGGATCATGCCGATCAGATAGCAACTATGGCGCTGGACCTGCTGTACCAAAGTGGCCGTTTTAAGATCAGGCACCTCCCATACACGCCCCTGCGACTTCGAATTGGACTGCACACAGGTTCTCAATTTCATTATTTGAAGTTTGGTAACGTCTATACCTTCGGGTTATTCGAAAGTGAGTCATTCATTCGTCATTTGAAGTTCATTAGTTGAACTGAGTGTTCAGCTGTGGAGTGTTAACCAGCGGACAACGGAAACGGAAGAAGAGACCGATTCGTAAATCAGAACCAAGTCAGTCACAGTAGAAGAGAAGACGCTCGTAGTCCAAAAAGGAATGGAGCGAGTGTTAGGCAGCCATTGATTGTGAGTTGTTTTAATTAATTGTAATTAAGAGTGATTGTAATAGAAGGCGTTAATAAATCCAATCATCCAATCCAAAACCCATTACTATTACTCACGGAACCATAAACAAACGACAATATTTTCCCAAATTTTAAACTTTAAGCGCTTAATCAGAATAGTGGGATTCTATATTATGTTCTCCCATTAAAATAGTACAAATTTGTATGCATTACTTCTAAATGTTGTCCACAGGCCCATGCTGTGCAGGGGTCGTGGGACTCACGATGCCGCGATACTGCCTGTTCGGGGACACCGTCAACACCGCGTCCAGAATGGAATCGACAGGTGAGTGCAGCCAAAGGTGTCGGACTGAAGTATGACAGTGGTACAATATGATTTTTCACGCGTTCTTAGAACGCAGTGCATAAAATTAATTCATAGAGGCTCCGGGAGTCTTTTCTGACGGTCACGTCTCATCTCCCACACCTCGTAATATATTTTAATGAAATGATCAGAAAGCATTCATATTCTTAGTCGCTGCTTGGTGTAATATAGGAAGCTCTGGGTAGAACTCTTTTAACGACTCCATGAATCCTTTAATGGACAGTGGTAACTATATACACCATCTGCTTTAATATTAATACAGAGTAAACACTGGTAATTTCTCTTAGCATCATTCGCTGAATTAAGTTTATGATATCGGATAGGGTATGTTTCCTGTAAGGTACTAACCAAGATTTACACATTATTGGGATTAACTTCGTCTTTCATGGGTTACAAGTCTAGCATGAATTGTGTATCAGTAACTAAATAATTTAATAATTTATTTATATTTATAATTTTCCAGGCCGGTCACGGTAACCGAGCGGTCTAAATCATGCACTGTCTTCGTTCGCTTGGAAGCCGGGATAGTGTGTTCGAATCCCATTCAGGGCATGGATGTTTGATGTTTGTGTGTGTGTGTGTGTGTGTGTGTGTGTGTGCGCACGCGCTTGCGTTTTTCTATGTTTATGTACAGGTAGAGGCCTTGCGACGAGCTGCTAACCCGCCCAAGGAGTCCTACCGTATTTTTAAGATCTATTAAACCGAAGTGAAACGGAGAGTTTCATGGACGTAGGCCAAGGCCCAAATTGGGGCTGTAGCGCCAAAGGAAAAAAAAAAATAATTTTCAAGGTTAAAAATTCGTTTAGTGGGGGGGGGCGGAATCCAACTGGGTCCACTCGGCACGGCGGCCGTGATTTGCCTATTGTACCTGCCCCGGGTGAGTATGATGATGGAGAATTTAGTGGAATGAAGATTGGCAGGGGAAACCGAAATACTCGGAGAAAACCCGCCCCAGCACCACTTTGTCCACCATAAATCCCACCTGACGAAACCAGGGATCGAACCTGGGCCGCAGCGGTGGGAGGCCAGCGACTAACCGCTTGAGCTATGGCGTTTTTCAAGAGTAAATCTACACATTACCGAAGTTACCAGATATACGAGTAATCTCAAAGTTTAGAACCTCGGCGTGTCACCTTATATCCCACATGTCTGGCAGTTCTGAAACTGTTAGAAATGTGAAACTTGAGACGATTATGAAGATTACTGTCTCACGGGCCATGACCCCGTGTTGTCTGGTAGATATACCGAATTTCGGAGGAACGTGTTACCTTCATAGCCAAGGTAGAAGACTCAGAAAGTTTTCTGCAATGCAGGATCTGCATGGCGGATTCATCTGTCACAAGCGACGAAGGAGCAGCTGGATCAGGTGGGGGGCTTCCAGCTGGAGTACCGCGGTGAGATTGACGTCAAGGGTAAAGGTAAAATGCATACGTACTGGCTGCTGGGTAAAGCCGGTTTCGACAAGCAACTTCCCACCCCGCCACCCATAGAGTGAGTACATTTTTTGTTCAATATTTCTTACACTGAAGAATTTCTTCGGCCAGAAAATTTTCGTTATATTTTCTGCATTTAGCGTCAAATTTAAATTATCGCTTCATCCACTTTCTGTTGTACTAGTATCTGAAAAAAAAAAAACTTTATATTAAGTTTGAGGCAGAATTAAATTAAATGCACCACCACTTGTCCATGTCATAACGCAGTTCACACATTAAGATAGTATAAATGAATTAAACCCTACCAATGAATCAGTAATTTTAGATTTATGAACGGAAAAGGGGGGTTTCATTATAAGTTTTAACCAATACCAACATATTATTTAAACATAATTTCCTTTCTATTAATTTCTCTTTCTCTGAATGCATTTGTCCCAGTGGTCTGTAATTTGTCTGATTCTATTAGAATAAAATATTTTCAATCGAAATTTAACCCGTTCTTGCACTGGTCCTTTCATTTACTCGTGCAATTTCAGGCGCAGTTTTATCGTTTTTAGTTCGTCGGTTCTCCCTAACACGATGTGAAACCACCCCCTTCAATCAACACGTATTATTATTGTAAATGACTGCTCAGAATACATATCATTAGCAGTTGGCCGCATTTGAATCTGCCCATCCATTCATAACCTTCCTTTTGATCGTACAATTATCATCAAACTGAATTCCAATTCTTTGGTATTTTACTAGATTTCACGCCCTCTGACCAGAGCAACGTCTGTTTTTTTACATTATTTGAAGAAGTCTGACATATACTTGCGACATAGTGCTGATTAAGGGGACGTTTGCGAATGATTAAACTGGGGCGCATAATGATCTCTTTTAAGGTAGTGGCCTATTTGTTGCCTGGTGGAACAGAGGGAAAGTATAAAAATTCTCACTCAGGACAGCTGGTCTTAGAACCGAAAATCGAACCCGGTACCTTTCGAATATAATGCAAAAACACTAAGCAGTCAGCAACGACGTTCATAATATTAATATTCATCGTCAGCTCAGATCCCTGAGCCTGTTCCAGCTACAAGGATTAATGGCGTTCTTTCGATTTTTCTCTATTCTTCGATTTATTTTAATTGGGCAGCTTCGGGGGTTCAGTTTCCAGACATTCACTATTAATATTCTAGGGATTTAATCATTATCGTCATCATCATCATCACTGGCACGACAGCCCTTTGTGAGCCCTGGCCTTCCTCAGGATTGCTCGCCATTCTTCTCTATTCGATGCTACATTCCTCCAGTTCTTTACACCCAAAATTCTTATGTCCTGCCACACACATTCTTCCCATCTCACTCTTGGTCTTCCCACTTTCCTATTTCCTTCTGTTGTAGTATTAAGCATTTTCTTCATGGTTCTATTCTCGCTGGCACGTCTATGTGTCCAGCCCATTCAAGCCTTTTCACCTTTATAAATCCAAAAATGTCTGGGTCATTAAATAGTTTGCAAAGCTCATGGTTATACCTCTTCCTCCATATTCCATTTTCTTCCACTGGTCCAAAGATATATCTCAGGATCCTCCTTTCAAATATACTTAACAGTCTTTCATCCGATCTTGACAGTGGCCAGGTCTCAGGGGCATAAGATAGCACTGATCTTATAAGTACTTTATACATCATAGTTTTGGTTTTCCTGGGTATTAGTTCGGATTTCAGGTGTTTTCTAAGGCCATGGAGACATTTATTTGCCGCAAGTACACGCTTTTTTATTTCATCACTGATATCATTTTTACAGTTAACTTCTGATCCAAGGTAAGTACTAGGGATTTAATACTTATATTAATTTTCTATTATTTCAGTTACTTTCAGCATCTCATTAACTGACCTACCTTTATTACGTCTCCATTTTTGTTTATTTTCTCGCCAAAGTCCAACTGGTATGAGTATTAGCCCTAATGTGCAGAATATTTGTTGAGGTTTGCTTTGGCATTTACCTGCGTTTCTTAATTCCACATAGATCTCTAAACCTATTTATTTTATGTTAACATTGTTGTCTTTTTCACATCCTGCTACAGCCCAAATAACAGAAGTTCCTCACTTCTTCGGAATATCTTCCTATAAACCAATTTTTTGCTTTTCCAGTTTATTTTCTTCTAATTTAAATTATTTTATTTTGGTGGTGGAAATTTTCATATAGTATTAACCAGTATTAAGGATGTTATCATGTATAATTTATTAGTAACTGATTGGTGATTATCTTGTGTTCAGTCAATCAGCAGATCTCATATTTATTATAAAAATTATAGTATCAATTTACTGTCATACCTTCACTTCAGGGATTATTTCTATTAAATTCCTCTTTGTTTTCTCTTACAATCTGTCAGGGAAAGCCATGGGTAAGTTTCATTCATCTCTGTTCATGAATAAAATATCCCGTCTAGTAGCTGCATGTAATTTTCCTTCATTAACCGCCGTCAACCTGTCAGCACAGGCGCGGGATAAGGAAGACATCACTTACATAGCTCGGGTAAAGCGATATTTTAGCCGAGACCAGAAGCCTTCAATTTCCATCTCTGAGATGCAAATTTGAATAGAAATGAGGCCCATTACCCTGACATTCGCCATACTGAACATTGGAGTTGGCCGTACCAACCTGCTTTTTGTCTGTCACTGGTGGGAAATTTGTTTGTTTCGACAACGATTCTTAAACACAGTTTTGATAAACGATACTGAAATCAGTACCACTCACATTCGGGTTATGAACCAATAATGTTACTGGCAAAGGGCAGGAGTTCGGGTGTTCTGTTCCCAGCAAGGTTAAGAGATTTTTCTTTCGTCAAAACACGAACTTCGGGGCTGAACCAGTCTCCTGTCTAGTGGGTACAAGAGGGTTTTCCCGGACTATAAAGTGGCCGAAGCCTAGTTACAACCCCTCACCTGCAATTAGTGCCTAGCTTAAGGATATACGGAATGCTGCTTTCACGTCTTCAGTACGCCTCCGCGGAATAGTACTTAGGCATTCACACAACTTAATCTCTTGCAGTATGACGTAGTAATTAAGTCACTAGATGTTCTTCCAGAGGTATGAAAATGTAACTATGTACTACAATCTCTATTATGAGAATAGTTAAATCATGAATGTGTTGTACAGCTAACATCATTACCTTCATGTTTTGTCATAACTTCTAACCAGAGTTTGCTGATAATGCGAAAACCACCTCCTCCTTGCCTGATCGGCAAAACAACTTCATACGGCTAGCTGTACTTAGAAATTGCTTAAATATGTATATATATATACATATCTGCTTTTCAGCAAAAATAGTAACCCGCTGAGGGAATGCCTGGAACCGGGTGAGTGAAGGAGAAAATAAATTGAGAAAATTGCAGGAAAAAGGGATTGACGTTTGTCATATTTTCGAGGTGATTAAATGAGTAGAGAATATTTCTCGTACGTAGATGGGACAAGCAACACGTCCTGCGGGGGGGGGGATATTAAAGAGTACGTATGAAGCTATCGCTCAACACATCCAAAGGAAGAAACCGTTTTATATAGCAGAACTTAGACTGCTGGAATATTTTTAAATTACTTTGAAGAAAGTATATCGATAAAAAAGCTATACATGTACGTCTAAAAAGGTTTATTCATACACACAGACATATATGTATATGTATATATATATATATTTCTCTATTCCAGAAATATTCTAATTGCGCATAAACTATGCCATGGCTCCTGATTAGTCTCCGGTTTCCCACCACGGTGACCTTGGTTCGAAGCCAGGTCAGGTTATGTGAGTCTGTGTTGAAAAATCGGCAATGGGACAGGTTTCCTCTGAGTACTTCGTTTTCCCCTGGAAATCTCATTTCACTGACTGCTACTCACTCATCTGTGTGTGGAGCTGACTAGCTGCCGGCGTACCAAGTGGACTCGATCTCACTCCACCCCACGAAATAGATTAATTATTATTGAATACGATAACCCCAGTATCTCCACTGCGGTGCTGAGTACAGCAGACATTAGGGTGGTTTAATTCTCATTTCTGATGATTTATTTACTAAAATACAAGGAGAAATATCGTCAAATTTTTTAAGAGACATTAGTTTAGGGCGCTGTTGCTGATGGTGATTCATATAATCCTGTATATTATCTGATGATTCGCCTCATTTAGAAATATTTAGTACGCCTTGGTCCTATACCCTGTAGGGAATTTCTTTAGCAGATGAACTAGTAGCAGTTATTCAGTGTTCCGTGCTGTTAGCTGAGTGCCTCACTCATTGCATTCACTCATTTATAATAAGCAGCGTTTCAGTACTTGTTGACTCGTATGAAAATAGCAAGAAGCCACTTTTTAACTTTTTTCTTTTTTTATTGCTAGTGGGGTGGGACTAAGCCCCTTGTACTGCGGCCACTTCTGACCTATTGTACCAGCCCCAGATGATAGGTGAGGGTGATTGTGGAGCAATTGGTGGAATGAAGATTGGTAGGGGAAACCGAAGTACTCGGAGAAAAACTGCCCCAGCGCCACTTTGTCCACTAATCGCTTGAGCTATGGCGCGGCCTTTTCAGTATACTCATAGTTGCTATCGGTTTCTGCGTGGCACTGTGGATTGTTACCTGCAGAAAAATTCATATTTTAACTCGTGTCTCAGACACTTATGTGGCTACTGGACGCAGCATTCTTTGATAAGAACGGGCTGTAAGCAATGCCCTGGGGAGTGGGCTACAGACGCTTACAACGTGTATACTAGTTGTACCTATTGTTTGCTGCACCAACTGAAATAATTACGTAGCTTACAAACGTAATCATTAATAAAACATAATCAGTAAATCATATCTGCTGCAGACACGATCACTGTTGGAAAGCGGTACCATCGGCTCTGCCTTTGTGCCGATATTGCCATAACCACACACCGGTTGCTGTCATCTTGGTTACGCTTGCTTGCGGAGAGAATTATGCTATAAATATCGTCTTCAGGCCGATGCCTCCAGAGTATAGCTTTAGTAACTTAATTTAAACAGACTCTATAAACACGGTGCAGGACATTTTCAGCTTAAGCACTCCCTGTAGGCGATGTGTGATGAAAGTATGAGAAATTGCATCTACATCTTATCAACTACCATCACTTCTTTTTTTTCTTTCGGCGTCAGCAGATAGCCATGAGGTAGACTTGGCGCTGCTAATCGATAATATATTTCTTTATCCCCAGAAATTATCTTGTGTTTATAAAATATGTAACTAACTCTGTACAACTACTTAAAATAACGGACTTTCTTTTATATGTTTCAAGGTTAAAATTTTCCTCATTTCTGAATAAAAATAATAATACTTCTAATATCACGAATTTCGTCAATGTTGGATCAGAGACTGAAGAAGAAAAGTTCCTGTGTAAGTTAATTAGTAATTTTTAATGATACGGATTCTTTTCAAGGTTGGATGAGCGACTAATACAGTTAAGCCGCGCCGGTGTTTCTGGAGTCGCTGCGGAACATCGAGGGCGCAGCATCATCCCATCTCGTTCTGAAGACGGCAGTTCTGGAGATGTAAGCGCTTCTGATGGCCTCACTCCACCAGCGGCAAAGGCGAAACTCAGCACGGATCAGCAGCCGTTGGCAGCAGCTCCACGAAGCTCTGAACAACCGCCGGATTCGAATTCAAACAAAAATTTTGCCTCTGATCTCAAGGGTGTAAAAGTGAATGCAGCGGTTCATAACGAAAAGTTAAATTTGAGAGACGACTCTAAACCAAATGAAAACACAAAATCGGAAAAAAGTGAATTATCGCAAGTGAAATCAGGTTCTAGGCAAGACCACGAATCGTTGAAGAACACTGACGCTAATAAAATTTCGGATTTCAATAATCAAATGTCGGGTGGAACAGGTACTGTGAGAAGTTCGTCTAGCGATCACCAGATGGCTTGTGGCTCTGGCGTATCTGCTTCAGAAGTAACAGCTGCACTTCTCGGGGTTTCAGCATCAACACAGTCAATAAACAATAACAGCATCACTTTCCGTACGAGCAACAGACATCGCAAAGTTGTAACTTCTCAGGAGGAAGACCTGAGTTCTCCGTACAACCACTATCGCTGCTTGTCGCCAAGCGATCACCAGAACTCCCACAACCACTTCATTAAGCCCCTCCACGGAATTGGAGCCTCCGGTCTCGGATCTAACCGCTTTCTGAAGAGACAGTTCAGTTTGGATCGCGGTGACGAACCATCTGCGCATATCCTATCAGGCGCGTCCTCAATGACCACGATGACACTGGACAGCGGTACTTCGTCCGCCGGAACGCCCAGAGCATCATCTACTGGCAGACTCTTTAAGCAGAACTCTGCTGGAGCCGCACACGACTTGGAAAGGATTGAGGAGATCCCTCTGATGAACACCGCGGGAATGGCTTCCCCAAGGCCAGGAAACGCGAGAGGCACAGCGAATGCAAACTATTTCAGACAGCGATGTGAACTGCCACCGTTTTCATCACCTTCAATATCTGTGTCCGTGGAATCCCTGAACTAAAATAATCTTACATAACTCGTTATATTCATGGCAGTAGTTTATATACAGTTTGATGAACTGATGGCCGGCGAACCATATAGAAAACACTATGATACTGTCGTTCTTTGATACTTAAACTTTTCCATAATAACATAGGAGTTAAGCGGATTACTATATTATCTGTAAGTATAGAAGCATTGAAAATGTGGAGTACTTGTCTCATAGACAGTCCTCGAAACACGCGTGAAGTACAAAACAATATCTTACTTTCAGAACATACTCATTGCTTTCAGCTATGTTTATGTCCTCAGTATCTCTTTAGGTATTATCACTGTTGCAAGCACTCTGAAACATCATTCTCTTTTTACCCTTTCGCCCGGTTTGGACTGCATAACTGAATTAGTGGAACGTCACTCCACATGCTTTAGAGAAATTAAGAAGTCCTGTTTAGTTCCTTTCATAAGGGTGCCCCGTGGTATATTGGTTAGCGCTTTTGGCTCCTCGCGGGATTGGAATGTTGTAAATACTTACGTAGAATGGTCTCTACTTAAAGGAAAATATATCACAATCAACAGACTCATAGTATGAATTCCAGCTTATTCTTAAGTCAATATAATTTATCTCTGGAAAAAATTATTTCCCTGCAAAATTATTTTCTACCATTAATCGAAACTGGACTAATAAGAAATTACGATGGGCAGCTTTTCATCGTGGGGTGAAAAGTCGCCCTAAATCTAAAAGGCGAACGTGGAATAGGCCGTTGTATTCATATCACCGCTCCTGGAAATTTCATTTCTGCGACAATATTTGTCATCTCACTATTAAATGACCCTCGGCATATTTAATAGTTGTCTATCCATGGTTTACTGGCACTCTTTTATCTATAAATAGTTTATACCGTCACACACACTCACACACACTCACACTATGTAGTTTCACATATTCTCATTTACCGCAACACTCCCAACCTCAATATTATCTTAAGGCTGACTAAAACGTTTCATTTTTACACTGTTTACTGGCTGATATATATTAAGTACGACAGATGTTACAAATCAAGAATGATCCCTGTGTGATTTATATCAATTGCTGTCTTATATAAATACCATTTTAAGTAGAAGAGTTCTGCTATATATAAAAAAGTAAAGCTATCCCTGTAACAGGCCGTGAAGGCCCATAGGGTTGTGAGACGTTGAGGATCCCACATTATCTAGACAATCGGCTCAATGATGGCGGTGAGGTTGTCAGCCTTAAGCGCCGACCGTTCTTTACTCCCCAGGAAAATTATTTATTTAATTCCTGGTACTCATTTCTTTTAGAGGCTGAGTCGACCCCAGGGCCATAATGCGGTTGGAAGGATTAGGTCAATTGAAAAAAATCCAATGACCTCGTCGGGACTTGAACCCGCGACCTTCCGGCTTGTAGCATTATTTAGAACTAAATTATGTGGACGTTGATTGTATTGGGTGTTGAATCTGCGTGTCGTGTATTTCGCTTCATGTGACTGCATACAATTTCGTGAAATTTTAACGTCTGTTTTATTCCTATCCAAATGATTTCTTGGGCTATCAGTTTTTGTAGATACGGAACAAGCTTTTTCATAACATCTAGTGCGTCACGCCTGTTTTTAATTTTCTTTTATATTATTGATTATTAAATATGAAATATTCACCGTAGTCTTATGGCTGTCTATTGAATTTATTTAGTCCGTTATGATTGGTATCATTGGTTTCTCTTCTTCATGAATGTGGTGGGTATTGGGTTCTATTGTTCTGTTCTTTCCTATATTTCTGACCGGTTATGGGCTTTTTGGTTATATGAATAACTGCTGTTATGTTTATTGTTTGAAATGTTGATGTTGTGCTTATTGTTTGAATGACTGTTGATACGGTGGATACAAAATGCTAAAATACATCGTGTTTGCTTGTGTGGCAGTATAAAATTGATGCTGATTGTAACAAAGCCAAGATATAAGAATGCCAGTAACATAAAGCCTCGGCTTCAATTGAACATTAGTTCGTTTTTAGCCACACAAATACGTTACCTCTCTTGTGCCTCGTTGCATTCCACTCTTCACCGACTCGATGGAATGGAAAGAGCCAGAGCTCGCAATATAAATACAATGACATCTTTTCGGGCCAGCTTCCTTGCTGCTGCGGACTTGGTGTCCCGCGCTTCGGAGACTGTCCCTACCTCCATCACCAGGAGTTCATTTGATGAGCGATATCCTTAAGCTATATTAGCCCCCGCTGATGGACACAGAGGCAGTGTCAGAAATGTCTGACACCATCACCAGATTAACACGAGAGATAACCTTTAAAGACGCCATTGTATATTTTCCCTGTGAAAGCTTCTAATCAAACTTAACAGATAATGGTCCAGACCATTTGGGATATAATTTCTATTGCCGTGTTGTTTATTGTTCGGTGAGAAAGTACTTCTCAGTCTAACAACCCATACTCAAAGGCGCCATATCTCCAGTCGAGTAGTTGGTGGTTGATGGGAATTAGATGGCATATAGGTCTGGAAGTAGAACACAAAAAGACATACGACCTCAAAACGAAATGTTCCAAACAATTTAATTTATCACACGAAATTCAGGTCTCTTCGCAAAATACAGCCCGCATTTTTAAGAATGGTTTATGTTGCAGTCTGCTCCTATAATGATACAATTCAGAGCACTGTAATAAAGGTTGCACGATCAGAAGTCACTAAGAATGTATGTATATTTCAAATGCAGGGTATCATAAATATCAAAACAAGACAAATGTCAAATTTATGGAGGTCCTGTTTCAAAGAACCTCAAGTTTTAATATAAGTGTAAATTGAATTGTTTATGGTAATTTTTCACATTTGTGTCAAACTGTAGGTGTTTTGAAAATGCCTCCTCTGATCCAAATTTCTCTTTAGGGTTGTGAAAGTAACTAACATTGTAACATTTTAAGTCAGTCTAGAACTAAAATGGTTTATTTATTTATTTATTTATTTATTTATGTAATATCATAATTTTATATCTATCCTGAATATGATTAGAAGGAATTCATAACGTTTGTTAAAATCATTTAGCTGTAATATAACTGAGTTTTGACACTTGGCACCATATCTTGACACAAAGGTAAGAAATTGGTTATAGATTTCCCGTGGAACTAATGTTTATGTCAAAGTTCTTCCTCTAAGGGAAGATAAAGCAATGAAGAAGTCCTGATTTGAGCTTATCCGATGCAACACTGGTGCTCTATAATTCAGACTCTTACATTATGTCCATTTATTTGTCTTCATAGTGACAAATTTATGTTTTTCTTAATTAAAGTAATTAAGATTTATTTCAACATGGGCCACTGGTGATCATTATGCGGTACAATTTCATGATGAAGCGTCCAATGGAGTAGCTCACATACCAAATATTACAACCTGTAATCAATATATATAGGCTTATATATAATCCATCTCTCCCCCCTTTTGTTTCCGTCTCACTGCCTGTGTCCACATCATACCTGGCTTCTGTAGCGCAAAAGTGACAAATATCCACCGTTTATTTCATAATGTTGACATGATACTGAATCAGGGCGTACCGTTCTTGTATAAAATTGACTAACCAAAATACGTGATGAAAACTTTGACATTATAATGAATATCATGAAAAGTTAAATAGTTCCGTCTAGTGTGACTGGTGAAGATATTTCTTATTTCAATTATTTATGCCCTTATATGTTTTGGTCTTCAGAGACCATCATCCGAGGACACCTTTACACCAATACAATTGGAAGTTACTATTACAATATATGTTCTGAACGTTAAAATACATACATAAAATATTAATAATATACAATTGGGTATAAAATCTAATTTTTTACAACTATAGCCCCTGTTCCAATACATTAAAATATTGTAACTGGTTTGTTAAGATTTTATTGGAATTTATAAACGAAGTAGGTTCGTGTCGTCTTTCTTATTATTTCCCTTGACGGGGCCCGAACGTGTGCCGTCTTGTGTTTGTGGCGCGCTGTGTTTCGTAAAAACAACACAGCGCGCCACAATCACATACAGGACAATAACTTAGAACCCTCTTCTCGAGAAAGACAAGGCGACACACGTTCGGCCCCCGTTAAGATAAATGATAAGAAAGACAACACGAACCTACTTCGCTTATAAATCCCAATAAAATCTTAACAAACCAATTACAAATATTTTAATGTATTGGAACAGCCGCTGTAGTTGTAAAAATTTTAGATTTTATACCCAATAATATATTATTAATATTATATGTATATATTTTAACGTTCAGAACATATATTTTAATAGTAACTTCCAGCCCTATTGATGTAAAGGTGTCCCTCTGATGATGGTCTCTGAAGACCGAAACATGTAAGTGCATAAAGAATTGAAATAAGAAAAATCTTCCTCAGTCACACTAGACGGAACTGTTTAACTTTTCATGATACTGTTAGTGTGACGGACCAGAATGAAACAAATCAAATTTATAATGAACAATTTCATTATTTTCCTACAGTTTTTTAATAACCCCTCGTTTAAAGAGTAGATGATTTCGCTCATGGTAGATAAAATGTAACAAATCTTATTCAAAAAATCAACAAGCCTAAGTCTGCTTTGCGTCACTGGTAGACAGGAGGGTGAGAAAATAGTTGAAGCAGAAGAACTGAGCAAAGAGATTATCGAAGTTGTTGCTGCTAAAAACTACTACTTTGCTCCTCAGCGTTAATAAAATTGTTCATGTTTCCTGTTTGTCTTTTTGCGGAGTTAAATACCCATACGTGTTGTATTCAGTATACGTGAAAACAAGTTCTGATTTCTCTTCAGTATATGTTCATGCAAGAAGACATATTACTAGGAATTTACATATATTCAATACCAGAAATCTATGGCATGTTCCCTTATATTTAGGCCCAGAGGGAATTTACTATTTTATTGTGATAACACAATGCAAAAAGATCCCATCACCACCATTGAAAACCCTAACCTGTAAATATAACAACTGTTCTAATGCACAAAGTAATAGTTTTTTTTTTCTTTTTTAAATTAGTTCGCAACTGAGAAGAAAAATTGTGTATTTTGTTGAACAAAGTATTCTTGTCTTTCAATATTGTTTAAACCCGACTCAATCAAAAATTGCAAGAAGGAATGTATTAACTCATTTCAAAACAATGTGATTCGAAGCAAATAAATAATTCATAAATATATGTATCTATTTCGGTACTTGGGAATGTCAAACCTCCAAAGAATGATTAGATGTCGATTATGAGAACATACTGAAAATCAGCAACAGGGGTACAGTTCGGCAATGTCGTTATCAGACTCTGAAGAGACAACCCGCTCAAATATTGAACAGTGGTCACGTGGTCTAAATCTTATCATCTGTTTCTAATGACATCACCTAGCAACGGCTGTCTCAATTATCATGTCACAATATCTTAACTTCACATAAAAGCCTTTCAGTTTGTGATTTCTAGGCAGAGTTCCTGACCGAAATACAAATATGGTGTGCTAAAACTTTGGTTCTATTCCCATTCCCAAACAAATTCTTATTATTGATGCTTACATATTTGCTGATTTTATTTTCGAGATTAGTGGCATCAATTGGGATCGGACTTGGGACAATTTTAATACAAGTTATTAGCATACAAAGAGTTTGGTCTTTTATCCCAGCCAATCTCGAAATATTATGATAATCTCTCAACTGAAGACAAGAAGTGAACCAGCTCTTGGATGTGCAACAAAATTTCGATGTGATGTTTTAAATTCTCCTACAGCAGTGTTTCCAAATTTGATTCGGTCATATATTCGTTTCGCACTCGAAAAAATTTACGGAATTCCTAATAACATTCTTACATATGAAGCTAAGAAACTAGACCACAACAAGTAAGGATAATAAATAAATATTGATTAAGGACATGAAGTAAAATCATGTTTCATTGCACGTATTTAAAAACAAAAATCGTTTCTTTTATACGAAGAATGGAGTTTGAAAACTAATGTGACACATATTTGTGTTTTAAACGTTAAGAGTGCCCTTTTTTTCCTTTAGAAATTGTCGTTATTTTTAACTTGATATTGGAAAGTTGAATTCTCAAATCTGGCGCCGCATTTGGTCTATTCCTTTGTTTTCTTTGTGTTGTTGCATAATTCCTTAATTCAGTTTCTCAGAAGTATGTGCTGGCGAAGGGTATCAGCTGG